GTGGCATGTACAAAACTTAAATTAATGATTAAATGATTTTATACTTGGACATGTAATATCTTTTACTATTAAGATTCCATTCCTTGATCAAATGAGACATGAATTTCAAAAGAATTATATTATAATGGAAGAATGAGAGTTGCTTTATGGTGAATCCTTTACCTTCTATGTTTTTCTTCCATATTTTATCCTTGGTTTAAAAAGATGGTTGGGTTTAGTTGAATTTGATAAAATCTAATTTCAATCAAATGCAACAAATTGAAAATAATTGTGTGCCTTTTTATACTAAATTTATTATCATTATTATTTCCAATATAATGCCATTGAGTTTTTTGTTTGAACCATTTTTTATCGTGTTCTTAGTTTTAATCCAATTTGACAAGACCCTGAATTCCATTTCAGTGCTACTGTGAATAACGACATATTACTTTCTACATCTCCGTGTAACTAAATTCTTCAATATAAATGAGTAAAAACCATACATAGATTTATGATCATTTATAAATCTTACCCAATCAAAATCAATGAAAATTTCTCTGCCTGTGTTAGGTCATTTTTGGAATAATAGCTCTTTTCAAGGTCCTTTTTAAATTACATTAGTATTATATATACAGCATCCAAGTACACCTTTATAATGTTATTCATAAACTGCTTTATAACACTGACAAAGTAAATATCATGTCTAATGTATGATATGCAGATAAATTTATCTGCTAACTAAAGCTGAATTTTAGTTCTAACTTTGTTTAAAGAATTCATTGTTGTCTTTGAAAGCTTACATGCTAGCATGCCAGTTTCATTTAATAAGTTCGAGTCGTAGTGTCCATGAGAGATAGAAAACTTGTTGCTTGATTTTGCGAATCCATTCCTATAAAATATTTTAATAAACCAAAAATCATTGAATTCAAATTCTCTTACTATAACAATTTTCAGCTTATTTATCTCTTTTTCATGATTCTCTGACAAGACCATATGATTAACATATACAATTGAGATAGATATTTTACTTTCAATCATTATTTGGTAAAAAGCATGGTCAAATTATCCTTGAGAGTATCCATGCCTTCAAATCACCATGGTAAATTTGTTGAACGATGACCTTGGTGATTGTTTTAAGCCGAACAAATCTTGATTCTACAAACTTGGTTCATATTATTATTCCTTTCAAGCCCAGAAGGATTGTTGTATAGACTTAATCTTCTACATCCCTATTTAGAAAATCATTTTTAACATTTAGTTGATGAGGTGACCAATCTAAATTAGCATCAAGAGAAAAATAAGCCTGATAGTCTTCCTCTTAAAAACAATGACAATAATTTATTGATAATCAAAGCTACAGGTTTGAGTGAACTCTTTTGCAACTAATCTTGTCTTATATTAACAAATACTTCAATATGCTTTAGATGTTGCATTGAAAATCTATTTGAATCCAACAGGTTTATTACCTTTTTGAAGATTTCAAATTCCCCATGTAATATTTCTTTGAAGAGCTTAGATTTCTTCATGTATTATATTTCTCCATTCAAGCATCCACAAGACTTCTTGAATAGTGTTTGAATTTTCCAATGGAAAGATTCATAATAAAAGCATGAAACAGATGAGATAATTTGATTATAGAAGACATAATAATTGATAAATGTTATGTACAAGTTCTAATGCTTTCCTAAAAGTAACAATCGTCATATGTAGATTATCCTATTATCTTATTCTTATAAGCAGTGCCATGTCTTGGGCCAAGCTTTGGGTATAGTTCAAGAGAAATGCTTTGTTCCCTATTATAAGTTAAATTTTTCTAACGTCTGGAATAGATATTCCTTCATGACTTCCTTTTCATATGTGATCTTTGAAACTTTTATGGAAAGAATGAGTTTCAAATGAGTAGGATTCAAACATTTGTAAAAGATGTACATTGAGATACAGTAACACTATTAGTATTGCAAAACTCAAACTCATATAGCGAGTTGGTGTTCCACCCTGAATGTTAATGTTGGGAGAAAATGATTAGTTTTCAAAAGAAAGGCACATCTATGGCGAGGTAATATTTTTTAGTATTACAAGTACAACATTTAAACCCTTGTTGAAGAATAGAATTGTCAATGAAAATGGATTTTATGGTTGTTATATCCAATTTACTTCTTTGATGAGGAGAAATATACCGAAAAATAGGTTAATTTAACACTGGGAGAGTGATAGTCGATAAGAATCTATTTACGGAATAAGCATGGGCAAAGATTTGCAAAGAAGTTTAAAATTTTAGAATTCTTGATGATATGACATTCAATTAATAAAATATGTTGCAGTAAGAATAATCTACCCAGTCCCCAAATAGTGCTTTGGGATATTACTGGTACTTATAACTGATTGAGGAACCTCTAGGGGATGTCTAATTTTTCTTTCTAATACTATATTTTAATGAGCATGAATAAAAGAACTTTGATGAATTATTCTTGTTGAATAAGATAATCTCAACAAATGAAATAAAAACATTACTTTTTTATTGTCATTCTAGAGTGTTAAAAATTGGTTTTGAATTGGGTCTATATAAATGAATATAATTTCCTGAAAAATGAAATTTGTGTTACATTTGTCTTTCATTAGAAAATCCAAGTGATTTTAGGGTGATAAAGGATATAAATCATCTAATGCTGACGAAGTTGTTTACTCAATTGTAACTATGGATGACAACATAAGTAGGGGTGACAAGAACCAAACCAAAATTGTTTGACCAGAACCCAACCTGTAAATTAAACGTGTCAGAAAGTTCACTCGAACGCAACCCACCTTCAACCCTTTAACCCAAACCCGACCCATATTATAACCAAATTAACATAAATAATAAACTATTCAGGTATTTTGAGTCAATCTCAAGTCAAATCTAAATTGGCGGGTCGATTTTCAATCAATTTCGGGTTGGCGAATCAACCCGAACTCAACTTGAAAAATTAGTCAGGTTAAAATTTTTAACCTAATCCCGAACTGAAAAATTATTTTTTCTGTCTGAAATTATCAATTGTTCATGAAACATTTTTCAAGTTGGCATGTCAAAATTTTTGAAATCCCTAAACATAATGTTGTAAAGCTTTATAAGAATGATTCGGAAGATATTTTATGTATGTTTAGACAATTGATAATTTCAAACTTAAAGGATTTAAAAAATGCCTAGAAAAGATAATTTTTTTGTTGCATAAATTTTGGAAGGACAAGCCGAAAGAGACGAAAATTTTTTACTTTCAATAAAGAAAGATATATACTAAGCATGTTCTTTTGTTTTTGTTTCTCTTCAACATTTAAGATGCATAGACCTACATTTTTCCTTCAATTCATATCCTAAAATTCAAAATGCTTAAAAAAACAGTAGTAAATTCAGATCTTTAGTAATTTTATCGATTGATAATAAGTTACAGGAAGGTTTAGGAATCATGAGAATTGAGTTAAGAACTAAAGAGCTAGTGATGTTAATAATCCAAATGTTAATTAGGTATGCTGTTAACATGTCAACAATTCTAATTGTATAGTTATTTAAACAAAAATGAAGAGTGAAATAAGAAGGCATTCCCTATCTTCTGAAAAAAAAGATTTGAGAAAGTACTGTAAAAAATATGAATATTAACAGTCAAGTGATGAAGATATCGATTGCTTTTTAAAAACCACACTTTTACACATCTATTGAATTTAAATAGTTGAGTTATGGAGCTAATATTATCTCTTCAAATGTCTCGGTTATATTTTTAACGTAAGTGAATATCACTAATATAGCATCACAGGTAACTTTAAGGCGGCACCATCCTGGGATTCATAAGCAATCACATAATTTCAAAGGGCTAAGAGAAGAAGCAGGAATATAAACCATATCTCATAAAATAAAGGATAAGAAGATGAAATCTCCATGATCCTAGAATCAAGAGCATTACATAATCCCATAAGAGAAAAAACAGTATTTCATATCCTATACTTCTCTTGTTTTCAATTAACTTTCATATGATAACCGCTCGGAATTTGTCTCTGGATAAAACAAAAACAAAAAGAATAAGATGAAACACAGAGATTTAGTAGCCAGATTAAGACTCTGCAGCTCTTACCCTGAATTTTTCATTTTCTTGTCATTTCTTTTTGTCCAAGTCTTAACATAAAAAAAGCTAAATTTTTTAAATATTAATACTTTATATTCACTTTTTAAGGGACATTGATAACATCTAAAATACAGGATAAATATGCCCACAAAAGAGATATTCCTTTTCTTTGTCCTCAAAATAGCACCCTTGCTCTGTCAAAAAAACAAAGTTCTTTCTCCAACCATATCTGTATCACTCTATTTTGTTACTTTGGTTTCTAGTTTAATTTTTACATTAAAAAACCTACAGGGTAAAAAGCAGATAGTCAAAGACTTTAGCCTGAATTAATTTCTTACTTGCAACAGACTCCATCACCATATTCCATAGAAAAAAGAATAAGTTGGTTTAGAAAAGTATAGGCTTAAAAGTCCAGTTTGGCTTCAAAAAGAGGAGAAATCGCTACAACAATCAGTTCCCAAGTCTCAAAACAGTAAAATATGCAAAATTTGTACAAGCATACAAGAGCAAGTAGTCTGGATAAACATGTTTTTCAGTGCCTGCTTAACATATGGTATGAGAATTATACTACCCATATTTCCCAGTACTACAATGCTCTGAAGCAAAAAGCAAAAATGCATCAATTAGCAGAATTAGGGTAAGTTGAACTAAGTTTGATAAAACTGAACTTTTGAAAATGCCAGTGATAGATACCTTAAGTAGCTAGATCTCAAAAACCCATCCAACTTAACCGGCATCAACAATGCATAACCATGAAATATAATCTAGCATTCGATGAACAATAACATGCATCTTGAACATACGACTAAAGCCTCCACAAAAAAAATCCCTAGAACACTAGTACCAGCTATAAACAAAGTGCAGATAAAAACCCTAGAATATGACAGCGGGGTGAAAGGATCAAAGAAAGAATATAATGGGAAGAGATACCTGCTCGGCCTTGAGCTCGCGGGCGGGCTTGACCCAGAGGAAATACGCGAGAGTGCCGGCGACGGCCCAGGAGGCTAGATTACTCCAGCCTCGCAATCCTCCCAGTGAGTTGCCAACGAAGGACCTCACGTTGCCAATCATTCTTCTGGAGCTAGGGCTCACCATTTTTACAGTTTACGGAGAACTAGCGGCGCTGAGGAGACCCGGCGTCACCTGAAACATTGCAATAATTTTTTTCAATCATTTTTCAAATTTAAAGCAAATTTCTTTGGAAAGACAAGATAGCAGAGCAAAAAAGATTTTTCACGGTCCAAAACTAGAATTTTTATTCGGTATATATACTGCATGAAGGCTTGCAAATGGTGGCCAATAAGAAGTTGTCACGTGAAATCCGGCCCCACTGCTATTATTTATATTAAAAACTCTATTTTTTGACTTCCGACCCGACCCGGCCCGACCCTCATTTTTTCTGAAAATTTAATGCATAAGGATCTTTTCCGATTTTCCCCCACTTTACTTTCACACTTAAGGGTTTGGAGTTGCCGAAATGAATTGCTCTGCAGACGAAGAAAACGACAATCACTTTCAGATCCGTGCAAGTTTAGCTTCGCTCAGAATATTTTCGACGAAGACAACGAGATGGACATCCAGATCCAAGTGAGTTTAGCTTTGTGGAGAATGTTTTTTTTATCTTAAAGACATTGTTGTGGTTTGGGTTCCAGGGTTTTTGCGAGTTTTATTTTTTAAATTTATAGATACTTCTGACATTTGTTTGGGTTTATCGGAGGTTTAATTAGTTGATTTAATAGTATTACTTTAGTTTTTTATTTGAGGTATAGTTCTGGCATATCATTGCTTGTGTTTAACAATTTGTTTCTCTAGGTTTCTCGGAGTTTTACTTTAGTGGTTTTCATTTTATTCGAAGTTGTTATCGTTGTAATTGTTTATGTTATGCTTGCATTTAGGCCGGGGTAATGGTTTATAGTGTTACCGCGGCATTATCTTAGTAGTATTCTCATGTTATTTTTGTTAATAAGGGATGTTGGTGTTATTGTGGGGTTATTGTGGTATTATTATGGTTTTATTGTTGTGTTATTGTACTGTTAAAGAGAGTTTTTTTGTTGCGGCTTTATGGTTTTATTGTTGTGTGATTATGGTGTTATTGTCTTTGTTGTTGGTGTTATTATGGGTAATGGTTTATAGTATTATCGCGGTATTATCTTGACGGTATTCTCGTGTTATTTTTGTTAATGAGGGATGTTGGTGTTATTGTGGGGTTATTGTGGTATTATTATGGTTTTGTTATTGTGTTATTGTACTGTTGAAGAGAGTTTTTTTACTACGGCTTTATGGTTTTATTGTTGTGTGATTATGGTGTTGTTGTCTTTGTTGTTTTAATACACATTTGTTTTACTATTGTCTTCTTATTTGTATTTCTATAACTTAAAACATTAAATGCAGGAAAGGAGGAAGATGGGCGAACAAGCCAAGTACTATTTTTTGAACCATTTGACACAAATTTGTGAGCAATGAGATAGAGTTATTTATTGACTCATTAAGAGCTTGGTCAGCATCATGAAAAATTGAAAATTGTAATATATGTAATATTCATTTTAGTTCAGGGAGTGTTTCCTGAGTTCTCGGAGGCAATGAGATAGAGTTATTCAGTGATTCAGATAATCTTGATTGATGAGCAGTCAAAAAATCATTCGCATCAATGATCAAAAGTTGATTGAGAGGAAGTTTTAGGCGGTTCGCACATCTAAAGTTGATCGAGTTATATAATCTGATGTCAATGCTGAAGATGTGATTTGTATCAAGTAAGTTGTAATGGGTTTGCTAAATTGTGAAAACAGAATAAAATGTAATTTTAAGTTTTGATGTTCTGGACTTCTTAAGTCTGATATGAATAGTGTTCATTCAGGTGAACCAATTGGAACACCAATCACATGAGACTTAAGAAGTGTAGAACAACATAACTTACAATAACATTTTATTCTGTTTTGATAATTTAGCAAACCCATTATCTGAATTACTTGATACAAATCACATCATCAGCATTGTCATCATATTATATAACTCGGTCAATTTTAGATGTGCGAACAGCCTGAAACTTCATCTCAATCAACATGTGATCATAGATGTGAATGATTTTTTGACTGTTTATTAATCAAGATTATTTGAATCACTAAATAACTCAATCTCATTGCCTCCGAGCAATCAGGAAACTCTACCTTCAATTAAAATGAATATTACATATATTGCAATTTTCAGCTTCTTCACTGATCCTGACCAAGCCCTCAATGAGTAATTAAATAAATCTCATTGCCCACAAATTTAACAAACAGAGTTGGAGCTGAATCTACATGCCAACAGCCTGGCCTCCCCTTTGTCGTACACTATGTATTAAACGGTGGTTATTGTTATATGTATCGTTATGTTTATTCGACTTGTTGTAATATTGTGGTATTATTAGTGAATTATTCGAGTATTGTTGATCTATTTTTTGTTATGTAGTATATTGTTTTATTGCGGAGTGATTGGTGTATTATTAACTTATCTGTTTATTAAAATCGAGGTGATGTATTATTATGGTTGTATTATGATATTATTCGAGACTTATTGTAGTGACATTATTGTGATTAGCTCCGCGGTAATTTTTTTAGTGTCATGCGGTGTTATCGTGGTTTTATTGTTGCTTTATTACGTTTTTATTTAGTGGAGTATTAGTATGGTTGTACTATGGTAACATTCGAGGGTTCTTTGAAATTTTAAAATTTTTTATCACGTGGGACCCAACTGTACTCCCTTCTGATACCTCCCGAATTAATTGAATGAACAGAATACGAAAGTTTATCGAAAAAGAACGTCAGAGAAAAACTGACAGGCGCACCGCCTCTTTTGTCATTCGCCATTTTTTTAGGGTTTCGAGTCTTCGTTCGCCGGTTGAAGTACATTCCTCAGTTCACCGATAGAGTTTAGCTGATCAAGATGGAAGCCGAGCCTTTTGAGATGGAAATCGAAGAAAACCCTACGACAGTGGAAGCCGAAGAGCCATTGAAAATGGAAACCGAAGATGAGCCGTCAAGAATGCAGTGAAAAAAAAAAACCAATGACTGTAAGAAGAAGGTTACTGAAGAGGGTTCCGCAAGGTAATATTTCTTTTTCTTTGTTGTTTTTTCCTCTTCTAAATGCAGTTCTTCTTCTAAATGCATTTTTAAATAATACCGTGATAAAATGTAGCTCTTTTAAATAGTGATTATTAGGGTTTCTTGGTTGTTTTTTCTTCTTCTAATACTATGGTTCTTCAAGGTAATAGTGATTATTACGGTGATAAAATGCAGTTCTTTTAAATAAAATGTAGTTCCTTTAATAAAAATACAATTTTCGTATACAAAACTGGACTTATATTAAATAATAAAGTCAAATAAAACCCTAATAATGCCATAAAGTCAAATAAAACCATAATAATCTCATAAAGTCAAATAATATTGTAATAAAGTGAAATAATAGTACACGAATAATACCTTCAAAATATAACCTTAATAATATCATAATAATATCGTAATAATATCGTACTACAACGTTAATAATATCACCGAAATATAACTACATTATTACCATAATAATAACGTAGTACTACGTGAATAATACCATCGAAATATTACTACAATAATATCGTAATAATATCATAATAATAAAATCACACCGAAATAACACCTGATATTTGTTGCATTGTATTATTTTTTGTAGGTTTGTGAACTCATGATCAATGAGTTGTAGATGTCGACCATCTGTGGTTAGAGATGCGCTGGATAAGGTGAGACATTCAATATCCGAGGATACGAGAAATGAGCTCAAAGCAATGAATGTTGAACAATTATTGGACCTCCCTCCATATCCTTAAGAGAATATCTTGACATTTCAGATATTGCAATGTTGGCAGCAAGATAAAATGATTTTCAAAATTGAGGGAAATGCCCGATGAAGTTACCCTGCTAATTGGCATGCCAAATAGAGGTGCAGTGCCAAAGTGGAGTAAACGTTCATCTTGTGGCGTGGATGCCCAACAGATGAGGAACAATCTTTTAGACTTCGCAAGAGGGGGGTCTTCTACCCCTTTTCTTATATTGTTTATAAAATTTTTGTTATCTAATCTATTTTTTTTTCTCGAATAATTTTAGCGTACCCGAAGGACTTAACAACTTTGGGGAGAACATAGAGACTTTTTCCTCATTTAATTGGTCGGTTGCGCTCTGTGATTTTCTTATAGAGCAAATTAATGCATTGGCCATCAAATTATTGTGGAACAAACCTATTTGATACATAAATGGTTTTCTTTATTTACTTACGGTCAGTATATTGTAGAACATAAACATCGTTACCGTTTATTAATTATCTTTTATGTTGAATATTGTGTATCTCTTATGCAGCTCTGGTTTTTTGAGCATACATATGTGGTAACGCCTGTCAATGCTGAGGCCAGACCTAGGATGTTGAGATGGCCAAAAACTATTAGCTTGAACTCCTCGCAGATAGATGTGGCCTTTAAGAGGCTGACCAGTGAACGGGTCAGACATTTACACTGTTGTTAAATAACTTCTTTTTGGAATAGTGATTAAGGTTTTTGTATCCTGAAATGACTTGCAGGTCAATGATAAATTCTTGGACCTACGAGAGGAGGAACTAAATTTTCTGGTCAATCCAGATGAGGGACGACCTGATATTTATCAAATTTGTCAGCCTGAAATTAGAGCAGAACCTCCTGTAACGTTTGATATGGGGCCAGTTGTTGAAGGGGAGACTGCTCTAGAACCAATTTTCAATATAATGAACAAGAACCTCGAAGTAATAATTGATCTTATCAAATGACAGGAGAAATGGTTCAAGGAGTTCCGAGGGACTCTTAATACAATTATTGTTGGAGTTCCGGGTCTGCAAGACCAAATGTTGAAACTACAGAATAAAATTGTAATCCCACATACTGACGAGGAATATGCCTAGCCCCCCTCCCCTCCTACTGGAATCCCACATACTGTTGAGGAATTTTCCCAACCCCCCTCCCCTCCTGTTGTAATCACACATTGTGAAGAGGTATCTGCCCAGCCTCCCTCCTCTCCTGTTGTAATCACACATGCTGAAGAGCAATCTGCCCAGCCCCCTACCCTCCTGTTTCTGCTAGAATCCCACATGCTGATGAGCATTCTTCCCAGCCCCCCTCCCCTTCTGTTATAATCCCTCATGTTGAAGAGGAATCTTCCCAGCC